TGTATCCCCGGTCCGACGAGAAAAAGGCCTGAAAGGCTGTCCTGTCCAGATTCGACAGGTAATTGAATTTGTTGGGCTTAAAGAATTAGCCTTTCAAATCAACGAAAAAAAAAAAAGTTCGTCTGTCACATCTCCTCTTTCCACCTCCCTTTTTCTCTTTCTCCGAGGCACTCCCTATACCCGTCAATGCTTAAAAAAAAGAGGAAGAAGAAAAGAAAAAAAAAGACTACTTCGTTATACAAAAGAAGCCATGAGTTAAAACTTAAAACAAAAAAAAGGGAGGAAGGAGAGAGAGAGAGAGAGAGAGAGAGAGAGAGAGAGAGAGAGAGAGAGAGAGAGAGAGAGGTGAGGGAGCAAAAGGAAAAAAACAGGAAAAGAACAAAACGCCGACCAAGTTAGTAACCCAGGAAAGAAAAAGAGAGTGAAAAAAGTTCAAAAAACGCGTCGAGTTTGTTTTTTTTAACCAGAAAAAAAAAGAAAAAAGAAGAGAGAATATCCCTTCCTATCCATTGCCAAATGATCTGTTGTTCCGTAATCCAACACTACAGGACAAAAAAAAAAAAAGGCAAGTGACTTTTTTGCAAGCGCGCCTCTCAAGTCCGAGGCCTCTTCGCTGCCAGCCCTGTCTACCTCGACCGTCCTCCGCAAACTCCTGGCTCTCGACATCCTCCTTCGCAAATTGCGTGCTCTCATAACTTTGTTAAATTTCGAGTCAATCTTGATGTATATATATCGTCACAAACAGAACTGCCCGGTAAACCGTAGGCAGAGAGAGAGAAGATATATATATATATTGTCACAAGAATATCAGAGCGCAAAAACAAATAAAAGGAAAAAGAAAAAAAAAACAAGTAAAAAACGAATTCGTTTTTTTTATCTTCTTCTTTACAACTCCCCCTATTCAGAACCTCTTCCGTACAAGGCTTCCCACGTGGATGTAGGTTGCGCGCCGGCTGCCCCCACCCCCGTGTGTCATATCGACCCCCACTTGCACACAGCCAAACGGCAAAGAAGCAAGAAAAAGGAAGGGAACAGCCAAATATAACAAAACAGGGGAAAACAAACAAACTTAAACACATCCTACTAGATGACAAGTCCCATATGCAATCACCTCCCCCCCCCCCCCCCCCCCCCCCCCCCCCCCCCCCACTTTTGTCACAGGTCAAACAACTGGACAAGACCAACCACGATATCAATCAACACCCTTCTTGCCTGCTTGTTTGCCTGCAAACAAGCAAGAAATCCCAGATAACAAACCATTCCTACTCACCAGCGACTCTGAGCACAGGACACTTGCTTCACCTCAGGAACGAGAGCACGAACACGATCCGACTGTCACTGGTCTCTTCGACTCTTCGCCAACTGCGCCAGTCCTTTGCAATTGTTATTTGATGACGCCACCAAGGCATCCTTTCCAGCTTTCTGCTGCTTTTCGCTGTTCTAAACTTGAATCCTGGGACGCCACCAACGGCCGAAAAAAAAAAAAAAAAAAAAAAAAAAAAAAAAGACACTCCCAGATGACAATTCCCACAGAAAAAGCACCGTCTCATCCGCACCAAGGCCGAACAACGGGAAACAGCCAACTAGGATGCTAAACGGATTAAGTCCCCCCGGATGACAGGTCCCACATGAAATCACCGCCACGGACACCCTACCGTTTGACAAACTCAATGTTGATATATTTACATATGATCGATGATCAGAAATGAGAAACAGTGTGGGCGACCGGACATGGAACGGTGCGCCAACTCGCCGGTGAGGACTTCGGCGGGATTAGAAAGCCACAAGAGAGGACAACACCTGCATCAGATTTTACAAAAAAGAGAGAGAGAGAGAGAGAGAGAGAGAGAGAGAGAGTGAGGGAGATGGGAGGATACTTGTAGAAAGAGAAAGGGGAAAGTTTAGGATCGACAAGGGAAGAAAGAAGATGGTTGCTGCTGCGAACGAGAGAGAACAAAAAAAAAGACGAAGAGAAAAAGACGGAAGCCAGAGCCAAAGTTGGGCGCTGAGGAAGACGGCCGCCATAGCCAGGTTGGGACCTAAAGGGCATAAAGGTGCGTAGCAAAGAAAAAAGACGAAGCGAAAAAGACGGGCGCCATAGCCAGGTTGGGACCTAAAGGGCGCTCAGTTTCGGCGCACGAGAGAGAACAGAAAGGACGAAGATGAAGAAGGGCGCCACGTCATAGCCAAGTTGGACTCAGGAACGGCCGCCATAGCCAGACTGAGCGCTAAGGAGCTGGATCGCTGCAGGGACGTCATAACATGCACGGAACATGCACGTAACATGCACGCAACATGCACGTGGAATAACCGAGAGAGGGGGATGGGCTAAAAGAGCTTCGCTCGCTTCGCCCGGCTTCGTGTGCTACGTGTATTTTGTAGAAGTGATGACGACTACACAAAAGGCAGCAGCTGCCTATCCCTACGCCCAGTGTACCGAACATTCATCCCTTCTCAAACAGGGAACATACAAATCGGCTACCAGACTATAGATCGAATAAAAGCTATTTCTCCGGTCCAATGCCGTCGTGATGACGGTGCGTAGGACTGAAACCGCCGTCTCTCTCTCTCTCTCTCTCTCTCTCTCTCTCTCTCTCTCTCTCTCTCTCTCTCTCTCTCTCTCTCTCTCTCTCTTCGACCTGCATTTCTTTGTTCCTTTCCGCTCTGGTTGGAAAGCAGCAGGTGTTCACGGCGAACCTCAGAGAAACGCTCCAGGAACTTAACGACGAGCCTCGAGGAGATGCCATGGAACTTCACAGGGAGCCGTGGGGACATGCTTCGGGTACTTCACACCGACGCTCTGGCCACCGGCGAGGCCATAGGACCTGAAGAGTGCGGAGGAGAGCCTCCGAGATCTCGTGTGCAAGTTGTATGACTATAACTAGGAGTAGTGGTAGGTACTAGGAGTAGTGTGAGGTGCAATTCAGAGAAGAATGTAGCTTTCGAAAACGCAAAAAAAAAGGTTGGGAGGGGAGGGGAGGGGAGGGGAGGGGTACGAGATCGGCGGAATGCAGGTGAAGTCGCAGTGGGCAAGCTTGGAACTGGAAGGAACGCTTCGGGAACTTAACACCGAGCCCCGGGGAGTGCCTGCGGGAATTTCACAAGGGGCGAGCCTCGGGGAGATGCAAGTACTTAGTCGCTCGGGAAGAGAGAGAGAGAGAGAGAGAGAGAGAGAGAGAGAGAGAGAGAGAGAGAGAGAGAGAGAGAGAGAGAGACCCTACTTAGTCGCTACTGGTAGGGGGTGTTGAACTTAGTCGAAGGAATCCGATGGGAAAGACGGCAATCGAGCAGGGACGGACAGATGCCAGTACTAGGGACCTGCCGGCGGGCGCCACACATGCTGGTCGGTGCGTCGTCACACCTACCGGTCCTACAACGGCGATGCTGCCCTACGGTAAATCGTAAATACACTTTCGATGCTAGGACCGGCAAGTGTAACTACCGGTCCTACAACGGTGCTCTGCTCGGTGTGACGCACCGACCGGTCGGTGCGTCGTCATCCAAACGAGGGCGAGGGGTGCACAGAGTCTGCGCTCACCGAGTCTTCTACTGTTCAGATTGGCTCCGCAGGGAATCGAGGGCAAACCACGGAAGATGCATTGTGAGGGCAAACAAACCAAGGAAGACGCATTGTGAGGGCAAACAAACCCCGGAAGATGCATTGTGACGGCAAACCAAGGAAGATGCAGTGCTCGTTGATCGGAGGGAGTGGCGAGGACGGTGAACGAAATTGGGACAGAGAGTAGAAGTAGAGAAGGAGCAGAGGGGCAGGAGTGTAAGGAGAAAAAGAAAAAATGTGTCAAAAAATGCTATTCACAAATGTTTGACTGAAGAGGCAAAGAAGAAAAAGGCGGGGTGAGACAAGGGGAACGGGAAGGGGAGGGGGGAGAGGGGAGGGGGGGGGGGGGGGGGGGGGGGGGGGGGGGGGGGGGGGGGGGGGGGGGGGGGGGGGGGGGGGGGGGAATTGGCAGTGAAGGCAAAAGATTGCAAATAGATAGCGTTCCACATGGATGTTATCTGAAAAGATGAAAAGATGAAAAGAGGCAAATAAATAGATAAAGAGTTCAACATGAATGTCGTGTGAAGGAAGATGATACGTACACCCTGTCTTAGAGGAGGAAGAAAAGAAAGAAGAAGACATTCATGTTATGAGAGGGCACAGGGAAACATAGGAGGAGGAGGAAAAGAGAGAAGAAGAGAAAGAAGGGGAAGAGGAAAAGGAAGAAGAGGACAGAGAAGGGGAGGAGGAGGAAGAAAAGGAGGAAGAGGAGAAGGAAAGGATTTAGGCAGGAGGGAGGCGGGAGGAGGGAGGAGGGAGGAGGGAAGAGGGAGGGAGGAAACAACGCAACGGAGGAGAACAACAATGTGCTCATCTCTATGGAGAGAAGAATATAGGAGGAGGAAGATGAGGAGAAAGAAGAGGAAAAAACATGAGGAAGAGGAAGACGAGGAGGAGGAGGAAGAGAAGAAAGAACACGAGGACGCGAAGCAGAGGAGGAGGGAGGAATCTGAGGAGCAAGGAAGAGGATAAAAGGATTGAAGGTACGCGGAGGAGGGGGGGGAGAGACCATGCAACAAAAGAGAAGGTAAACGATGAAGAAGAGAAGGAAGAGGCGAGGAGAATAGCCAGTCAAGGAAGACAACCAGGAGGCCCAATTACCTAGTAGAGGGAATGGTACGGAAAAAATTATTAGAGCGAGAAAGACGGGAAGCCTAGCGATGACCGATGTAAACGGAACTTGTCAGTCGGTTGACGGGATGAGGACAACTCTCAACTAGCGACTCACGTGGCCGGTCATGCGCGCTCTATTACTCACGTATCCTCCCCCTCCTCCCTCCTCCCTCGTCCCGCCTCTCTCGCTTTTGTACACCATCCCCAAGAACGGCTTTCGAACGACGAAAATACCCCTCTCCCTCCCCCTTTCTCCCTCCCCCTCTCTCCCTTCTCCCCTCCTCCGTCCCATCCTCTGCCCCTCGACAATTCTTGACTCAGCTCGATTAACGCCTTGCCTAGGTTCCTAGGTTCTCCATCCCTACTTCCAGCCGTCCTCCCCCCCCCCTCCCCCTACCCCACACCCCCCTCCTCTTCAGTTCATCAACTTGTTGATTTTCGTTGAATACGCGGTGATGATCGGCACCGTGGTCGCTGTGTCTCTCTCATAATACACCCCCCAGTCGCTGAAGAACCCTTCGGAGTCCTCAAGGGCCCAGAACATGGTCCCCGCCAGAAGTCCCCGCTTGGATGCTTCCAGAGACTCCCCGAACACCACCTCAAAAAACGCGTTCCTGTTGTCAATCGAGTCCGCAGATTTCCATCCAAACTCTTCTATGATCAACGGCATTTTGAATTTCTCGGCGTTATCCAGGACATGGGATCGAATCCAAGCGGAGGCGAAGAACATCTGCTCCTGAGTCGTCTTGCCGTATACCCACAGCTGCGGGTACAGATGCAGCGTCAGGTAATCGACTCCTGGAATCTGAGATTCCAGCAGAAAGTCGTTTCCTTGCCTCGTTGCCCACCCACCTCCATTAGGGTTAGCAGCGGCTCGCCGGGGATCCGACGGTCCGTAGAACCCCTCCACTCCCAAGGACACCATGTGCTGATCGTCCAAGCTCTTGATGTAGGCCACCATCTCCGTTAACCAAGAGATGAGAGTGGCGCCAGACACGTCAGACGTGCAACGAGGCTCGTTCATCACCTGCCAAGCGAACACCGTTGGATCATCCTTGAATAATCGCCCATTGACCGTGTTCCTGCGCTTGAGCAGAGCGTCCACCAGCGCTCGATACCAGGACTTCATCGAAGGGTCGGTGTAGAACAAGTCCGGCGTCGCATCGTCGTCGTTCGACTGCGTCTTGTACCACTCCAAGTACTCCTCTTTGCTCTCCCAATTGCCCGCAAGAGTGAGGACTAATCGAATACCAAAGAGGCTGGCCTCGTTCATCACCCAGTCCAGACCAGCAAGCACAGACTCGTCGAACGTAAGCGGTCCCCGCTGCACAGTCCTAGACCGGCCGTCATTACAAGCCATGATCCGCACGACGGTGAGGCCCATCAACCTCGCCTGATAAAACACCTTGCTGACGCGCTTCTTGCCGTCCTCGGTCAACGCGTTAAACATAATATCGCGGGTGTTCCACCCGTTGACCAGAAAGTTTGACCCGTCGCCGGCGTCGAAGAGCATCCCCTTCGGCCGTACGATGCCCCAATGTTGGCGGGGATCGTAGCCGTCCTGGGCTTCGGTCAGCGATGAAGGGAAAGACGAGGAGGAGGAGGGGGGGGAGGAGGAGGAGGAGATCGATTGCTCAAAACTAGCGTCCTCTTCCGCCTCCTCCGACTCCGAATTTGGCGCCGCCGCCATATCCGAGGCCTCGGCCTCCTTCGCCAAAGCTGAGTCCATGATCGACCTTCCTTTCTCCAATGCCCCTCTTTCCTCCTCCCCCGGCTGGGCTGATCTCGTACTCGAGCCGCCTTCTCCTTCTCCTCCCCCTTCTCCTCCTCCTCCTTTTCCTCCTCCTATGGCTTGCAAGTGCTGCTGAGTGGCGGATGATGTCGGCGGCTGAGGGATCGTCGTCGGCAGCAAATCAGCAGCAGCTGCGGCGGAGGGAATGGCCGTGAGAGAGGGTCGGATGGGTTCTGGGAGGGAAGAGGAAGAAGAAGGGGAAGATCGACTGCTCCCGCCTTTCGACGCATTTGCTGGGTCGTGCTGACTCAGCCGCGGCTGTCTCTCGCGAGGCTGGCCGTCCGCCACTCCCTGCTGGCGGAAGACGGATCCCGACGCTGTCTCTGCTGGAGATGGGCCTCGTGGGCCAGCAGAATCACCATCCTCGCTTGTCCCGTAATCAGTGGCGCTCGAAAAGACGCGAAAAGAGAAGAGGGAGGAGGCAGAATAACCCTTCACTGGGTCCAGGTGATGGTGGGGAGCATCGTCTTCTCCAGCATTCACACCACCGCTATCACCAGTCACGTGAGTAGTCGATGTGGCAAAGAGGAGGAAAAGGACGACCAGCTTCAACACCTCAGACGGCCCCCCCATCCCGTATGATGCTATCCCACCCACCACGACGCTCAATTAGCCGGCAAAGCTCTCTCTCTCTCTCTCTCTCTCTCTCTCTCTCTCTCTCTCTCTCTCTCTCTCTTTGTGTGTATGTGTGTCTGGATAAGCGATAGTGTGCAAGATGGCTCGGTGTCGGCTAAGTCAAACGCCCAACCGGTTTTTACATCGACGGCTATAGACGGCTGTAGACGGCCATAGACGGCTATAGACGGCTATAGACGGCTATGGCGGCACTGCAGCCTAGTAGTGAAGACGGCTATGTCGGCGAGCGGGAGGATTGCTCATATTGTGGCTCATATGGCTGATAAGGCCAAGCTCAGCTCTGCCCCATGAACTGCTGATGCAAGTATAACTATCATCATCCTCCAAGAGCGATCCCTGGATCCATGACCGTCCCGCCGACTGATCGCAACACCCAATCATCTCAACCCATCTTCCCAACGAACCCAGCAGCAATGGCGCCTGCCGCTCCCTCCTCCGATGGCGGCGGGTTCTTCTCGTCCTCATTTCGGACAAGCAGGTCGAAGGCCGAGGAGGAGGAGGAGGCCGAGGAGGAGGAGGAGGAACCATAGCGCAAGAGGGGATTGCGCTGCCCAGGCTGAGGGAACTGAGCAGACTACAGACTACAGTAGCTGTCGACCTGCAGGCTCCGTGGAGTAGACACAGCTGGAGGTTTTTTTTTCCTCTTGCATCGGGTCGTGATTCGGGTCAGGTTCATCCTGCACAGTTGTGCTGTGAGTAGTGAAGTCGTTAGTGGCCCGCCCAACACCGTCCACCTGCCTCTCCATCTGGTCAGGCGACTGGGCGCCAGCTGTCCCGATCTCCACCGTACGTGCCAAGTAACATAGAAGGTTTTTTTTTTCTTTTTATTCTTTTTGTTTTTTTTTTTAACCGGAGAGGGAGGTCCCACTGGATTAGCGCGTGTGACTGTCAGGCATCGTGGATTCTGCTGACGAACTTCGAAAACCCGCTGTTTCTTTTTTTCTTTTTTTTTCCGGGGGAGGGGGAAGAAACGCGCTATTTCTGCAATTACCCCTTTCTTTTTCCTAAGAATTGTTTTTTTCCATCTTACTTTGTTTGTCCAAAATTCACCTTTACCCCTGGGGCGAGGGTCCCACTTCCAAAGAGGTTTGGATAAATATCCTGAATCTGGACGTGTTTTAAGCAGAGATGCAGAAAAGCAGTTCAATCTCGATAACCTGCACCTCTCCACAAACACGTCCAGATTCGGACATTCGATCGGATCCACTTTGCTAGTGGGCCACGCCCCTGCAAGCACAGCTGCCTCTCAGTGGGAAAAACAAAAAGAAAAAAAAAAGAATAAAAAACCTCTCACAATCCGAGGGCATACATGTTGGGCCCCGTCCTAAGGTAGGGCCTACAGTAGGTGCACTACTTGCCATCCGCCAACATTTACTGAATGCATCTGGACATAATTTTGTCCAGGTGCATTCAAAATGTTGGGGGATGACGAGTAGTGCAACTACTGTAGTAGGCCCCTAGTGCGCGGTCTGTAACATATACACTTTCGCTAAATATAGATGAGAACAATAAAAATGATGAAGTGGCAAGAAGATGAGATAGATGAGAGAACAATAGAGAAAAAAAAAAAAAAAAAAGTAATAATAATAAAAAATAATAATGAGGAAAATTTGGAAAATACCCCTGAAGATGAAGGAAATGACATCTGTGACATGCCTCTGCAAAGTGAAGGAGATATTAGAATACCCCTGAAAGATGTAGGAATAGTGGGGTAATTCAGAAATTTTGGCATTTGTTGGCAGGGCATTACGCTCTACCCACATCTCATAGGGGTATTCTAACATCTACTTCATCTTTCAGGGGTATTTCGCAGATTTTTCCTGCCCGTAATAATAATAAAACACAAAAATCCGCACTTCCGTTGGCTCTGTGTATCTAGCCGTTCATTCTTCTGATCAGTCTATGCTATGATCGCCACGTACCCTGTCTCACGGGCAGGTGGCCGTTTTTTTTTTTTCTGTTTTTTGTTTTTTACTGGTTCATCATATTTTTCCGTTTTTCCTTTTGTAAGCCCAACTGATTCAATTACCTCTATCATCCAGCGGCCTAGCTCAGTTGGCAAGGCACGCAAGTGGCATTCAGGAGGTCTTGGGTTCAATCCCCACGACCTCATGTACCTTCCTGGGCATGCTTGGCGCCCGCCACCTAGAGATAGCACGTTGGTCCCCCTAATTGGCATTAAAAAGCAGTCTCTGCTGATGTTCATAGGGGGAGGGGTAATAGGGGAGGCACAGCGACTAGCCACTCACATGATGCTCGGTCCCTCTGCCACCGGCCGGTGTCCCCCGTTGGGGGTTCCCTGAAGGCAATCAAGGCCACCCTGGGCTGAAAAGGCCACCCGATGTCAGATTAGACACAATATTGAATTTACCTGGGCTGTTGGCCTAAGATGATAATACCTCAAGGCCATCGCCCTTTAAAAATAAAAAATAATAATAATAAATAATAATAATAAAAACTCTGTCGAACACACACACACACAAAAAAAAACTGTCGAATCCGGACAGGATGGCCTTTCAGGCCTTTGTTAGGGCCAGATCCCACTAGCCCCTATTGTTCATTTCTGACCGTTGATCTCCGTAATCGAGGGTGAAAAATGAATAATCCAGGGTAGTGGGATCTGACCCTTATTGTTTTGTTTTTTTTTTCTGACCCTTATTTTCATTATTGTATTACGGAATTTATGGGGAACCCCCCGTAGCAGCCACATCCGTGCTCAAGCCTCCAACGAGGGAACAAGCGGGAGCTGCACCCACCAGGAGTATGGTCCCACTAGCAACGGGGATTGCATTCAGATCCTGAATCTGGGCGTGTTTTAGGCAGAGATGCAGAAAAGGAGTTCAATCTCGATTTTCGGCACTTGTCCACAAATGCAACCAGATTCAGGCGTTCAATCCAATCCTCTTTGCTAGTGGGACCTCGCCCCAGCAGGTGCGATGCTACAGCACGTGGGCGATACCGGCCAGAGGTCAGCCGGTAGCATCAGGACCGAGCTTCTTCGATGGGCCAGTCTCTATGCCTGCCCTCCGGGACTAATTCCACTTGCACGAATTAAGAGATATTGACCTTCAATAGCGAAGATCAACGACCGAAATCAAGTGGGACCTTGCCCCCGGTCCCCTCCCCCTATGAGCATCAACACTCTCTGCTCAATGCCACTTGGGGGGACCGACGGCCTATCTCTAGGTGGCGGGCACCAAGCTTGCCCAGGAAGGTACGTGAGGCCAAGGGGGTTGCCTCAATGCCACTTGCCTTACCAACGGAGGCCGCCGCCATCTGCCGGCAATGGGAATGCATTAGGACAGATTACGCGTTCAGTTTCATTCAGAGTTTTGGCAGATGGCGAGCAGTGCGGCTAGCCTCTTAGGTTTTCTACCCACTGGTGCCATTTTTGGGCCAAGGACGAGTGAACAAGACGAGTTTTTGGACGAAGTTCCTTCATTCTAAGCACAAGCATTTCACCACAGAGGCCTAAGTTTCTGGTTGTGTCTTTCCATGTTCTACCTGAAGATTCATGCTCATTTTGCACATTTGGTGAGTGGTGGAGCGAGGCCCTAAGGGCCTGGTTGCATCACTCGTCGTCCGCCACGACCTTCCAATGCATCGGGACAATCCATGTGGCAGGCAACTTGTGCAACTGAGGGCCTCCCTGCACTACTCTCCAAGTGCACAAATGAGAATGAATCTTGCACTAGAACATGGAAAGATACACCGCCATTTTTTTTTTAATTATTATTTTTTAAGAAAACAACCCGGAACCGAGCTCAGCGTCCCTTATATTTCGATGCCAGGAAACGGGCCTGGCGTCCCTTACAAAAAATTCCGCGGTCTTGATTTAGGGCGAGACATCACCGGTCAAGCCCTAAAATTGGACCGCTACACGCCGCAAACCCTATGCACAAAAATACTACCGAAGAAA